GGCGTGATAAGTGTTATGTTTTACAGCTTAAATTATTCAATGATTATGATAATGTTATTGTTTTTCTCATATTGTTTTCATAAATTCCACCAAGGTAAGTGGATGGTCAAAGTTTTATTATTGATAAAAGGTTTTGTTGTTAATAAACGAGTTTATTGTAAATTATGCTCCATTGGTCTTTTTGTGGTTTTTTACCCACCTTTATCTCCGTGACGGTGAGATATCGTGATGTTCTTACTGGACTAGTGTAGCTCACTCCTTAATTAACCATTTCAGATCAGGAAGACATGGTTCCCGAGCCCGTTCCGCAGGAGGACGACGAAGGGGATGCCTAGAGACTCTGTAGTCATACGCATAGTTTTATTTTCGAGTTTCTTTCTTAGTTAGTTTAATCTTTTATATTTTAAGTACGTTTTTGGTTTTTCGTGTAAGGGATGTTAAATGAAATTTTGATCTCGCTTCCGCATTCGATATATTTAAATACTCATTTCATTTTAATATTTTCCGGGGCCGTTACAATAGTTACAGTAGTTAGTATTACCAAAGTAAAGCTGTGTTACGTTGGTTTATACCAGAGTGATAGATGATGTTAATTGATACAGTGCTTCAATTAGGTCTACAATGTGATTTTTTATTTGGTAATTCTGCTTTTCAGTCATTCATCTCTTCTTTCTTTTCCACATGCATGGATGTTTGCACTGATTTGAGAATGATTTATTTTCTGTTCTATAAACTTGTAAGCCTAAATGATCCAAATTAGTACTTTCCAAGTTGTAAACAATCATGAAGGCATATGATCCAGGATCTTTTCTTCTGAACAAAAACATGTGATAAGGAGCTTTAACTTTTCTGAACTACTATTATGATAGTTCTAGGTGTACAATTCATGCAAATTCTCTAATCTGAAATTTCAGTGAGAAGGAAAGGCAGCAGTGTGGGGTCTCTGAAGCTTGTGGATGCTTGTGGGTTTATTTGGCTGATTTGCGTTCTTCAGAAGGAAATTCGCATGTGCACTATAACCTATTTTATGATCCTCTAAAACATGATGGTCCATTGTTACCTCCTGCAGCAGCTTTGGCCCCAACTTTGTGGCCTCAATTTCATCTTCGTTGGGCTTGCCCCTCTGAAGCAAAAGCTGGTGAGGTTGAGGCACAGTGTAGAAACATGATAATAAAATTTTCTGAACTGCAGAAGGTATTATTCTCATGCAATTGATGCAGATCGTCCCAAACATGATACTATTGGAAGTTATCCAATTTTTTTGTTGTATTATGTGTATTTTCACGGGGATTTTCCTGAATGTTTCTTGGGTGGATGAAAATGTCAAACAGGGAAAAGAGGCAGCAGAAAGAAAAGCCAAGGACATCTCAGTTGCCATGGAATCATTAAGTGCAGAGTTACGAAATGAAAAGCAGCTTAGTAGCTCAGCCATGGAGTTGGCAAAGAGAGCCGCCAAGGAAAGTGCTGCCATCAAACGAGCCGTGCAATCGTTGGGTTGCAAGGTCCAGTTTGCAAGCGGCAGCGATCGTATCGTTGATATTGAAAGAAGTCCAACAGAAACTCAGCAGAAACTTTTATATTCTCCTTCCCGTAAAGAATCTGATGGTACTTCGATGCATGATGAGAAATCAGACCTGTCCGTGTCTATTACAGTCATGGCAGATGATAATGTCTCGGGCAATCCACTCGGACGAGTGTGTGAAGCTTTATGTCCATTACGAACACGAGATGGAGGATGCCGATGGCCAGATGCTGGTTGTGCTCAGCTCGGTAGCCAGTTTGTTGGATTAAAAGCAAACTTTGATGCATTTGATAAGCTATCCATTTATGATAGTTACTTCAAGTCTGAATGAAAGAATTGTTAAATGAGCTCTGGGTAACATAGTACAAAGCTTGGAGCGCATCCTACAGGTAGCAAGGTAAATGTAGTTCATCATCGGCTAAAAAGCCGAGATTTTTCTTCTGGTTCATAAATGAAATCACCCGGGCAATACATATACACAGACCCACAGTATTTTGGACGATGGGTCTTGGGATCGTCTGTACAGCAAAATATAGAGGTAGCTGTGACCATTTGTAGGTTCTCTTTGTTGAGGAATAAAATAGAAGGGTTTAGGCAATTCGTTCAATTAAGAAGTTTTGCATATGGTCCTGAGTATAGTTTCTCACCCACCCTGCCATTCTTTCCTTCAGAGATTTAGCTTGCTGTTCCTGTTCCTATATGAGAGCCATGTATACAGAACAAATATTTGTAATTAGCCATTGATTGATTTTGTATCCCTAATAAATTTTGGGTATTCTAGTTCTTTCCCTTCTTGCTATTTATTCTTTAGTTTCTCATTAAATTATGTTTTTCAATAAATTCATTTCATAAAGAAAAAGAAGTTTATTTGAAAGTTTCTTATTTTTATGTTTACAACTTGTATATGGATTATAAAATGTATATAGATTTATTTGTTCATAGTTGGAGAGGAGAAGTGTTTGTATGGATTTATAATATGGTCTTGTGAGATTTGGTTATTATTCTTATTATTATTATTTTTTATGATTTTTGAAAAAAAAAAAAAATGTATCTTGTTTGGCAATTATTAATCTAGTAAACAAGTATGTTAATCCCCAAATTTTCAATAACAATATATTAAGTTTTTAATATTTAAGATTTTAAAATTTAAGGATCAATAAAAAAGATTAACAAAATTAAAAGAATTAAGTATAATAATTAAAATATTTATATTTTATTTTAAGATCACTAATTTAAATAAAAATATAAAATTAATTATTTAAATAATATATTATAAATTAATTTATAATATTTAATTTAATAGGATTGATTATTTAATTTATTAATGTACCGAGAGAATTACGATAATTAAATTAAATTTTAACGAATTTATTATATTTTTAAATAAAAAAAATATTTATAAAATTATATTTTATTAATTAAATAGATATAATGAAATAAAAATACAACTTAATTTTTTTAAGAAATTAAAAAATATATATATATAAAAGAGTAAGTATGAAATTAAAATAATAAATAATATAAATATAAATAGAGCTTTAAAGCTTCGGAGATCGTGTATCGCTGTGCGACGAGAACCCAGCCCAAGTCTCTCGTGCATCTTTTGCTTCTTTGGAGGAGGAGATCTCGGTCTCAGTAGAGCTCTCGTCAATGGTAAACGTTGATCTATAGGGTTTTACTTTCTCGGTTTCTCTTCGATATAGTAAATTCCATTTCGTTTTGATCTTTTGTTAAATTTTGATATGTTTCTGGGAAGTGTGTATATTACTGACCTAGCAGATTTAAGGCTTTCGTTTGGATCGATGTTTAGTGTTTTCATTTGCTAATGGAAATTATTTATGCTTCTCGTAATTGCTGGTTGATTTCAGTTGAGCAAATTAATGAAGATGCTTATAGATTTGTTTGTCATTTCACGAGGTATTGTGATATGCGGTGTTTCTCTCGTTGCTGCTTTAGTGTTCCTTCGAGGTCATGCCAGATTTGGATCTAACTAGAAAAATTTGATAATCTTATCTTAATGGTCTGGCTACATTAGTGTACATGGGAATTTAGGCAAGTTGACTAATGCTTGTTGATTGACTGGGAGATTTTGTTGAGTAAAGGTTGTCTCGCAAAATGAAGTTTCTGTCCTTTTGGATGTTGTGCACTTATGAAATTCTTTGTTATTGGTTAGCTTTATGCAAGGTTACTTAGTATTTATCTCCATGGTTCAGTAACAAAGGGTAGAAGAAAGTTGAGATTATTTTACGGCCCTAGCCTTGCAATATTTTTTAAAAATAATATACCTTATTTAAAGATAAGAAGTAGAAGAACGCATCCTTTGGTGTAACCCTAGCCTTGCAATTTTAACATGTGTCTGGTTAACTTGCCCATGATTTTCTTTAAAACTATGCCTGAAAAGAACAGATCTTTTATTCTATTAAAAAAAAAGGCCTTTCATTGGGTGTGAGTAATTTCATATTTGATTTACTAGTAGCAATATGGTCGAATTATGTTTGAGCATCTAATATGTTATTGCAGATCTACATTGGCATACTTCTGTCTGAATCAAATTTGTTGCCTTTTAGTGAATTGGTAGAAATGGATTTTGAGGCTTTGTTTTTCTTTTTCATTTACAATTGATACTTAAATCTGCAGTCAAGCAAAGACATCTAAAGAAATATCTTCTGAGGATCTTAATATTGTAGAAAGATAGGAATGCAATTAAGCTTACGTTGTCAATGCATATCTTTTATTGTAACATGAGAGATGATTTTGGTTGTCTATTCTACTTTCTTTTTGTTCTCAAAAGAGAAGAAGTACCTGAGATGGGAACTATATTCATTTTCCCAAAGGAATTGGTTATTTGCTATTTTCTGTCATGTCAATAATTTATGAAGCATGTAAGTTATAGATCCTATTGGTGTTAATTCATGAACTTCATTATCTTGTTTTAAGAACAAACATGTTATTTGCAACATTCTGAAATTCTAAAATTATTGCGCTTTTTCCTAGCTATTTGCTTGTTTGGTTTCTTTTGCTCCAAGGTCATTTCCATCTTCTTTAGGGATAAATAGGATGCCTGACCCTGTAAAGGATGTCTTTGTGGATTCTTCCAGAGACCTTTAGGGGAAATAGAAGTAATAACATCTAATGTGCTAATATGGTTGTTTGCAGTAACTAAATGTATGCATGTTTTAGGGGTCTCTTTTTCCATCTCACAGAAGAGAATGAACTGTGTTATTCTGTCATTATTTACTAAACTTCTTCCTTTATCTTCCTGGTTTTTTTCTTATTTATTTGTTTGGAGAATACCTTCTCTTCCCGCCTTGTACCTTCTCTCTCTTTGAATGTAATTCCATTTTACAAAGAAAAAAGTCAGTAACTTCTTATCTTTCTGTTCTTCTACTATTGTGTAGGAATCGTGCCCTTCAGTGAAGAATATCCTCCTCCTGGATTCTGAAGGGAAACGTGTGGCTGTTAAATATTTTTCAGATGACTGGCCAACAAACAGTTCAAAAGAAGCATTTGAGAAATCTGTATTTACTAAGACCCAAAAGACAAATGCCAGAACTGAAGGTTACAGCCTTTGTTTATTTTTCAGTAATTACAGTTTGATACCTGTCCTGTATCTGTTGTAGGCTTACATGCAACAAATTGGTCATGTTGACAATGGTAAACTGGCCACCTCAGTATTAAAACAGTGAGAATATAAGAGTCGTGTTTACATCATTGGCTTTTTCTAGGAATCTCCTTAAAAAGAAAAGGAAATCTTATTGTATCTAGCTTCCTTCTTTGGCTGTTTCTCCAAGTTTATACTTGACTATGAACTTTCTAGCTTTTGATCTTGCTGCTTCTATATTAATATGTTGCTGTTTTTTGCATTTACAGCGGAGGTAGCAATGTTTGAGAATAACATTGTTGTCTACAAATTTGTTCAAGATCTTCACTTCTTTGTTACTGGGGGTGAAGATGAAAATGAACTCATCTTAGCCTCAGTTCTTCAGGGATTTTTTGATGCAGTTGGTCTTCTCCTTAGGTTTGTCCAATAACTATTACCCCATCTTCATACAGGAGTATATATATATATATATATATATATATATATATTGTTTTACAGATCAACAAAAGTTTCACATATATTTTCCTTTCACCAGAGGCAATGTGGAGAAGAGAGAGGCACTGGAGAATCTGGATCTCATCTTGTTATGCATTGATGAAATTGTCGATGGCGGGTACTTAACATGCTCCCAGTTTTTGATTTTTTCTTGATTCCTGTAATGCTTCTATTATTACCAGGAAAATCACCCATATTTCTGATCATAAAAATGAGAATAACCTCCTTGCCCATCTCTCACTGGTTTTTTTTTTCAGTTTAGTATTTTGATATTGATTTATAAAATAATGGTACTGGCAATTTTGATGTGGTTGACCTAGGTGGAATTTAGTTGAATAGCACATTTGTCCACATTTTAGCTTGTTGCCCACTAACTTGATTGGAGCAAATAATGTAGCACACTGCATCGCAACCTCAACAGCAATTTAGTTTTATAGGAATATTTGTGACCAAATTTTTGTCTGTTGATCAATGCCTTGAGCTGCTTGATAGTGGTCAGTTTTGGGCTTGAGTTGGTTCTTGGAAAAGCTTATTAAACAAGCAGTCGAGTGTCGTATGCTTAGAAATGATGCACCTTCGAACATATAGAAGGAAGATTTAGAATCTGCAGATACTTACATCCAGACATTTAGTAAAGTAGGTTGCTTTTTCTTGTTAGAGTGTAGATTGAAACTGTTTGCTTTGAATGTGGAACTAAGGTGTAATTCCACATAATAAGGAGATCAACAAAATTGATAAATAAATAGAAGTTGGTAACTTGATTTAATTCCTTGTCTACATTTTTTTTATCACACACTGTCACCCTAACTTGCTCATTTTTGTCCTTTATAGTATTATTCTCGAAACTGATGCAAATGTTATTGCGGGGAAGGTTGCAAGTCATAGTATAGATTCTGGTGCACCTTTGTCTGAGCAGGTATTGTAAAACTAGTTCTCAGTTCTTAGGGGAAAGCAGGTTTTTTCCAAACCATCGGTCATTTATACTCATTTAAAGTTTATTTTGATGTTATTTTTATTTTGCCAGACCATTAGTCAAGCACTGGCAACTGCTCGTGAACATTTAACAAGATCTCTCCTCAAGTGAAGTTTGCACTTAAAAACATGGAGACAAGATAATCAAATTCACACCTGTATCTCCATGTTTCTTCATTTTCTGATATCCCTGATACCATGGTGATCGATAGGGCATCAATTCTCCTGTCTCAAGGTAGTGATTCTTGATATTAGTTGATGGTGCTGCTAATTGGCTGCCACCCAAATTGTCAGGACATGTGAAGTTGGTTTTTGTATCTGCTACAAGATTTTGTTTTAAACTGATTCAGACCTGAAATTTAGAAAATAGCAATTTATAATGGGAGGAAATTAAGGTGAATTCATCATGCATAGCCTCTCTTATGCTTGGTACTATTTTGACAACATTTATCGAGTGGTTTGTTTATGAGGAAATACTATAATGAAGCTGCGGTTTGCCCTGATGAGAAGCGGTTTCGACTGCTATTTCTAATAAAATTCTATTACAGGTTGTCCTTATTAAGTCTCTTTGTTCTTTTGATTTTATTTGCCCTTAAAATTTTCCCTTTGTTGTTAAAGAAAATTCTGTGCTCTTAATCAACATCAAACCAGATGCAAGGTTGCAAGGCTCTCGTAATTCATGTTCAAATTAAAATTTACATGACATTTTAGACATATGAAAGTATATCTGCAAATGAGATCTACACTTTGTATGACATTTATCTCAAATATACAACAGGCTTCACCATTTTCTTCTAACTCAGCAAAGAAAAATTCAATTAGAAATATATGAAGTTCCTCACCTATACGAATCTCCAATCCCCCGACTAAGAAAGTAATGAAAAGACAAAAACCAATTTACAGCTGATGTATATAAGTGCATACAAAATTGGGTATATTTGTTATGTCGCAGTCATAAAAGTTGCACCACCTGACAGAGATTCAAAGGAGAAGAGGATCTCCACGATGCTAAGTCTCATTGCTCTTTTAACCAGCACCTATAAAATTTCGATAACCGGAAAACTGGCTTCCAGGTTAGCTAAGCAATCTGCCCAGCTTGGTCGATTAACGTTCCAACTGGCTCTCCGCATAATGCTCTTGATATATTCCCAGGCTCATGCATATTGAAGACGACAACTACAAGAGAGAATACAAATAAACTGAGAAATACGAAAAAACAAAAAAGATTATCACTGCAGCTGTAAGCAAGAATAACCTAAAACCAGTAACCAACCAGGAATTCCGTTATCTTCACAGTACGTAACAGCCATCGTGTCGATGGATGTAATACCTCTTGTAGCTGCCTCCCTGAAGGATATGTGATCCAACACTATATTGCCATTACCAGACTGGCAATCATATATGCCATTATAATTTGTACCTTTTAGCACCACATCCGCATTTACTGCACAGAAATGTGGCGTTGAAATCACAATTTCTTTCAGACAAAGTTCATAATCAAGAGAGAGAGCAAGGTAAAAAGAGAACAAGCTTATGGCAACAACCAGAAATAAGACAGCAAAGGGATCATACTTTCAAAAGCTCTGAGCGCTGCTGCGGTATCAGTGGTAAAGAGTGGATTTCCAGTGCCAGCACCAACCCCACCAAATATCACGACTCTTCCTTTCTCAAGATGTTGAATGGTCCTTTGCCTGCTATATAGTTCAGCAACCTCTGGCAGTGAGAATGCACTTTGCACACGTGTTTGAACACCCAATTTCTCAAAAGCTGATTGAAGCAAGATTGAATTCATAACTGTTGCCATCATCCTGATATGAAACCAGAGTCAAAAAAGGGTTCAGCAATAAGTCACCACTCTATTATTCTGTTTGCAAATAATTTGACACAATCGACCTTAGCATGAAAAATACAAACAACAGATTCCAGTATTAACAACAAACAAATTTTTCAGAGTTTAAGAAAAATTATCTAGTTCCAACTCCCATACTGCATACGAGGATTAGACCCATTAATTGCAGACCTTGGTAATTGAGGACCTTCTCTAATCCCTATCTAATCCTAGTTTAGCATAATTACAGAATTCATTAGTTAAAGCTAACCAACTATATTATATATTGAAATAGTTTGTCGATCATATAAACAGCAAAACTAAATCTTCATTAGCCTGGAAAAACAAAGTACCTCGCAGGAAATACTATTAGGAGCACTTATGGCATCGAAACATAGATATAACTTTACCCGATCTGGTAGGCTGTTGGTCTATCCAATCCAGTAGCAGACACCCATGAATCTCCACAAAAGAAGTTGCGGCCACCAACGACAATTGCAACCTATAAAATCACAAGGCTTTTCACCCACCATAACATATTTAATTGCTACAAGAGAGAAAGGAAAGCTGAGAAGAACTTCTGAAGAAGAGGAAGTTTAACAGTAACAGAGTTGAGAGTATACCTCCACCCCTTGGCGGCAAGCTGTTGCTACTTCCCTTGCAACCTGCATTGCTACCTGACAATAGAAAAAACCAGGTAAAGTACATTAGGATGATAAAAGTTCAGAGATATAACTATGAACCCTAATGACTATTACCATACTTCTTGTATAATGAAATAAATTAGCACCTTGGGGTCTATACTCTGGCAGTTCCCAGCTAATGCACTACCACTGATCTTAAACACTACTCTACGCCATTTTAGGGCTTGTAGCGATTTCGGTTTCAGATTATTTGTGAAAGAAGAATTGATAGGAACGCATCTGTGATAAGAAACATTAGAAGGTTCGATTAGATGATTGGATCAAATTGTCTCATCTGATCACTTACCTTTTAGCTTGCCTATTCAAATTACAGCTTGCGGCAGCTCCTCCTCTCTCCTCACTCTCGGCGACTCTGTTGGTACCGGGATTGCCCATGATGGCCTCGATCTTCTTGAACCAATGCCAATGACTGGTAGACATTCCGCTACTGCTCATCCTCTGCAACTCCGCCTTGTACCTCTTTTTCAGATTATCAATCTTATTTTTACACTGCTCCACGCTCTTCCACATCTTCTGACGCTGCCCAATCTTCTCATCTCCTCCGCCAGAACCCTCGCTCACCGCCTCTGCAACCTCCTCCCAGTCCCTTCCGCGCAAGTTTCCTCTGTTCAGCTGGTTGAACTTCTCAGTATAAGCATCCAGGAGACAATCGATCGCCACGTCGCTCCATTCCTCACGGTCTTTCCTGTAATCCGACCGGGACTCCGGCGTGGATGCGGATCCAGATTCTCCGGCGTTCAAGCTTCCGTTCGGTTTCTGCCTCTTGTTTCCGGCGATGCCGCTGTAATAATAAGGGTTCGGTTTCGCGGGATTTCCAGAATCGGATTTCTCCGGATCAGATTCCGCGTCGATAAAGGGATGGTGGTAATACTCGGTGCTAACGGGGTCTTCCTGGTGGTGGCGCGTTGGCGCGTGGGGATCGATGAGAGGGAAGTCTCGCGACGCCATCCGAGGAGGATAGAAAATAGGGCTAGGGTTTCGAATCGGAGAGCGGAACAGAGACGACGTTAAGGGTGGTTACGTGACGGAGCGTTAGGTGACGGATGATTTAAAGAGGGAATATGACGACGTGAGTCATTGTGGAGAACTGCCGTTCGCAAATGGTAACGGTTCGTCAAAAATAGAGACGTTTTGTTACGACAACTCCTCTTTCATCCGTTAAATGCCAACTCCGATCAACATTTTTTTGTCTGCAAAGTTTCACATTATTTTCTAGAAAAAAAAAAGTATATATTAATTAATTAAAAATAAAGTTTCGAATATTTTAAATATTTATTAACATATTTAAATTATTTATTGCGTAATAAGTACACGAAATCTCAATTTGGCTAAGTATTCAAGAAATAAATAAATTATTTTATTAAATGTAATATTTTTATTAAATTTTTACGAAATTAGTAACTATAATCTTTTTATATTTTGAGAGTAACTATATAATACTAATAGTTAATTATTAAATTGTTATTTAAAATATAACTAAAATCAATATTATTATTGTTATTATTATATACAGTACTGTAATTATGTAAATATAATAATAATATTAAAATGGTAGGTCTCGCTGCCCTGAGAAATCCCTGTAATTTTTTAGGTACAAATAAAATAGTATTATTCTTTGAATAATTATAATAAAAAAGGGCAGACGACTGCGAATTTTTTTTTGTTTCTTTCTTGTTCGATCACTTCATTTGTTCAGATCAAAACTCATAAATCCACCTCCGTTTCTCTCTTTCCCTCCATCGCTAACAAATCACTACCGATCATCCCATTTCTATGATGTCCAGTTTGCTGCACCGCTAATCGGCTCATATCGATATTCAATCTACAATCATCGGAGGGCATTAATTGAGACTGTTAGTCAGCGAGCGAAATCATTCTTTTGCTCGCTCGTCATCGCCATCAATCAAATCCTTTCAGCGACGGAAAACCACAACATTTTCTCATTAATTACCTGTATAGTTTATCTGGATACTTGTTTGGGTTTGTATGGCGCTTTCACGTCTCCGACATCCGGTGATCTCGCGGGCTCCGTCGATCATCAGAGCTCGACTCCTTTCTTCTTATGGCTCCTCCGGGTCATTCCATCGGTATGTAAAAGTAGATGTATAAGCACGCATGCATGTGTATTGATGACATGTGTCGGCTTTTACATCGTGATTATTTGCTCTATAGGATAGTATCGCGAATGGATTGCAATAGTGCGGTTTGGCTAGCTGAATAGCTCAGCGAACAGATCACTTCTTTGCTCTTTGTCCAAGGCTGGACTAAAGTTAGGAAACCAGGCATCCTTATTTATTTTTATTCTCTTTGTCCTGGCAGCTAAGCCCGTAGGTTCTACGACAACCATACTTAGCTTGAACTCTGATGGCTGCAATGTTCAGCTATTGCCAATCCTGAATACTCCTTTGGTTGAATGTTCGTACTCTATTATTCTGGATGAATTTGTGGAAGGCATATTGTTTTGTATGATCCTTGTATCTTCATTGGCATCCTTTGCTTTTTGGTGAATTACATTTGTGATTTGTAATTTATCGGATTTGAAAGCTGGGTTTTGTTGGGTTGGTGGGACTATCCGAAAATTCAGTTCTTTTGTCATATAAAGTGGAAAGTTTTAGTAATTTTAGATGTTTGAATATCGATGCTATCTCTTTTGAGTAAGTGTTATTTGGTGGCTGAAATGGGATGTATAATTATTTAAGGTTTGGCATATCATGGCATATATATTTCTCCTTAAGCCTAACATATTAGGGTGGGAAGATATGGGGTGTGTCATTGACCATTTAATTGATATGTAATTACTATCTACATGGGTGGTACTCCCTCAATACCTTTTTGAATAAAAACATTTTCATCTTTTATTTAAAAAGAAAAAAATTTCTTCTTAAAGCCTTTTTATGGAGAAATTAATACATTGCACTACAACGGTCGAAAACTCTTTGAAAAGGTAATATGGGTTATGCCAATAAATCTAGATTGGCAAATTCCAATTGTGGTTCAATAAAAATTTCAAGGTCCCTTACGAAAGCTTTCTTGGGATAGAATAGTGTCAGTTTTTCCTTTCCTTTTCCACTTTGTATTTTTTATTTTTTATTTTTATTGAGTCCTTCATGTGTCTCTAGCAAATGGATTTATAAATTGCACTTGCTAGTTTATCATTAGTTTGAAAATACTAGCCATCGATTTAGTCTTATTTCAGTCTAGAGGATAGCCTGTAGAATTGTTAAAAGTTGCTAAGAAGGATACATCTAGAAACGTAATGAGATATGTCTTTCATCATTTTTGTGATTTTGAAATAGGCCCTAATGAAGATAATCATTTAACAAATTTCTCTTTTGAGTAGCCCATGCATATATAAAATGTAAGAGTTGGTTGTAATTGGCTATGTTGACCTCTTATCAGTACCAGTAATAATGAAAATCATAATCTTGGTGCATATTTTATTTTATTTAAGATACATTTTTAGTAATTTTCTTGTATTTGATAAACAATATAGGTAGGAGATTGTTATAATAGTGCTTTTATTGCAAAAAAAGGGAGTTTGTTATTATACTTCTATTAGTATTCGAATTCAATGGTGTGCTTGTTTTGGGCACATTCCTAGAGATTATTGTTTAAATGTAAATATGAGATGGTTCGTGATAACCCAAATAATGATTACTCATCATCTTGCATATATTGTGGGTTTGCTGGGAGATATCTTGTAATTTGTATTTTCTCTTTCCATTATATGAAGAAAAGATAACAGAGAAAAATTTTCACAGTTTATTTCGTTAAGTACACACAGCGAAACCAATTTACATTCTCTGCAGTCTTCTTCCTCATTTTTTTACTTTAATTTAAATGTTTGCTGAGTGGTATTTTCTTTACCGAGTTCAATATTGGTTTCAAGTCTATATATTAGGATTTCTATAATGAGATGTTAGTCCATGAAAAGTATGTAATCTCGTTTATAATGAAGACAACATTGCAGAAGATTTTGTTTTGTGCCATGCAATCAAATCTTGGGAGTGGAACCCTGGATCCAATCTCTAGGTTTAACCCATGTTTCTAAAGTAGGTGTACTATTCCTAGTTTGTTCTGCATCACAAGCACATACGGTAGCTACAGGATTTAATTGACTACATGACATTCTTTTAATCAGAAAAGCAAGATACTGTATTTAGGAAGAAATTGAATACAGTTTATGAGATTATTGACACATGACATTCTTTCAATCAGAAAAGCAAGATACTATATTTAGTTGACTACATGACATTCTTTTAATTAGAAAAGCAAGATACCATGTTTAGGAAGAAAGTGAATAGAGTTTAGGAGATTACACCTTGGTTGAATTGTAAATTTTTGTACATGGGTGGGCACCCTCTTGGTGCCAATATTAATACATATTACACACTTTTTATTAAGAAAAAAGAAAGTTTAGGAGGTTGACTGCTATGACCTTGGAGATGATACTTTTAATGCACGTCACTTAAGCTTCAAAATCCCAAAATGTTTACCTGATAATATGAGACTGTAATTAAAGTTTGTGTAGGTTATTTATTGGTTAGTTGTTTTACAAGAGAGGGTTGTTTGGTCAAGATCAATGTTATAAGTAATTTTTTTAAACACGCTACTTGTAGTTCTTGCCAGTATTCACTTTTAATATGCTCAAAATCTGGATAGTTGAAACCGCATACAATTAGGTATTCTTAAAGGAGGTGTGCAGGTTCTATAACATTTTAATTTATTATTGGATCAGAAAAATAATTAATTTCCAAGTTTCCATGGCACCAACAACCTACTTGTGGTTAGATTTTTTTGTTGATTGTTGCCAACTGTGGCCCTTTCTCAGCAAGTCAAATTGACTCCATGATTTTATGTTCCAAAACAGTGAGAGTCATGTGATAACACATAACCTTTTGTATGCATGATATATATTATCACCTTGATATATGCTTCTTATGGCAATATTTGCATGAAGTTTCATGCCTTTTCATGTGTCCTTATCACGGACTTACACTTGCAGCACTTCGAGCGGGCAAAACTCTTTTTGGGACATCAATGACTCTCTTTTAAGGTTTGTATATATTAACGATCTCATTTTTCACCAGCATTTTTCACCAGCATATCTTGCTACTCTTTTTTTATTTATTTATTAATGATACATATATCTAGCTTTAGTATAAGAATATTTTGTGTGATTGTTGTATCTTGGTGAATTGGGCATAGTTTGTTTCATTAAATAATGAGTTAAAACTTTTTCCACGTGATCAGAGTCAAAAATAAATTTAGACAAGTTCTGGAAGAATAGCTGAAATGTCTATTAAGTCAACCTTTTGTTTATATTTGAGGTAATTTGCTGTGAGCTTACAGTCAATTAGCTAACATGTTAATGCAGAATACTTGGTCCATGTGGTGCCTTTTAGTGGGTTTATGATGGTTTACTCGTGGGCTTAAAAAATACAAAGGCTATGGAGTAGTGAGGATTTCTAGTTTGTTATTTTTTGTTATTTTCCTTATTTTCCTCTATGGAATTTGTTCATAGCCATGGAGGGTACCAAATGTATTCTCTTGTACTACAAAATGCTCTGTGAATGGAAGCAAAGGGCTCGATTTTTTTTCCCTCGAATTTGATTTCCTCAAACTCCAGGGATCAGATGATTCTCTCTGACAAGCTTACCATTTTTAGCAACCAAAATAGGTAATAAAGGAAGAAAATCCTTCAAACACTCTGTAGGAATTTTCACAGAGAATTTCCTGTGAACGGACCGGTAACTATTCCAAAGTTGGGACACTATCAACTTGGTATAGAAGTCAATTGCTATGCGAGATTTTTGTGCCTTTCAGTTGCAATTTAAGAAGTATCAAGAAGCGCGAGCATGAAACAAAATGGAGAGTTGAACAAGATTAGGCATATAATGAGGCCAAATAGCAAGACGCCGCGACTTACTTAGAGGAATTCTCTCAAAGCCTAGTTTGGGACTCGTTTGGATAATTGTGATTGGGGTGAGGGGCAACGGAGGAAGGCCTGGTCACATATTTGGGAGTTGAGAGGCGTTGGTTGGGGTGCAAGGTATTCCAACATACTGCAAGCTTGATTTCCCTTGTGATGGCATAAAGGATACTTTAGGATGGTTTAATTGCTGTGAGCATTTCATACATCATCAATGAAAAGCCGAGGAGGAGAAAGTTGGGTTAGAACCTCTCCATCTTCAATGAGGTGGACAACTCTAGTTCCTTAAGTTAGAAAGGAATCACCTGGAGTTAGCTTGGAAGAATTTAAGCAGTACGGTGACCATCGATGCAAACTGTACTGTTGGCTTCCAGTTCAGAGTAACAAGGTTGGTGAAGTCTCTAACTTTTCCAAACAGTAGCTTTAGAAGAGTACCAATTCTTTGAGCAACTTGTTGCTCGGGCCATTTGTCTCGATCATGAGCAGGACATACAGATTTTTTGTGAGCAGTTCGTGCTTTGAGCAACATGTAATTAGGGCGTGCATCTGGTTTGATGCATAGTGATTTCATATACTTTGATTCTCAATCACCAGACACTTGAATTTATAAAAAGTCACTGTAGTTTGTTGTTCTGGCTTGATTTGTTCATTTTCACTTGAATCAACATTGCTTAGAACATTCACTCTTTTTCTACCCCCTTAATTTCATGACTGGTTCTTTTTTCTAAATGCTTAAATTTGTCTTCCAGGCCTACTTCCTTTCCTAGGTGCCCTGGAGCACATGATGGGTCCTTAAAGCTCAAGGTCAGCTTTCAAATAATGCATGCCCAAATCCAAAAAAGTTTTTGGTTTTTCCTTATTTTCTGCCATTTTACAGTTGCAAATGGGCATTCGGCAGTTTTCATCTGCAGGTATCTGTCATCTTCATGTGTTCACTTTTTTTTCCCTCCATTTCTCTATGTTTTTGTCAGTTTGTTGAACTTGTAACTTGTTTAGTTTTTTATCAAGTTTTCTTCTGAGATGCTCATACTGTCTTGTCTATGGCACTGATGTTGCACCTACTTATTTTGTTATATATTTCTATCTGAAGATTGTTTATGCAAAAGTAAGTTACTTTTATACTCACACCTTCTGATGGGTGGGAAATACAGGTTCAGAGGTTTAAAAAAAAAAAACTTTAGTATGTGGGATTACTCATAAAATCTATCAGTGAGTTATTAAAAAATAAATAAATAAATAAAATGTATCAGTGAGGATCTAATGAAATGAAAATTTGCCTTTGATTCAGAAATCAAACTGATATAAGAGGATTTCATAACATCCTAAGCTCAAGCTTTCCAGCATTTCCTATTGTACTTAGATTTCTAGCTATTCACTGGGACTATAAATTGGACAGTCAAAGCAATTGATATGGACGGACTCATGCTGTAAGTTGTCACTAATTGCAACTAAATTGAGCCTAGCGATAGAGAACAATCACAGTCGAAAATCTCTTTCAACTGATGGAAAATATTGCGAAATAAAACTGTTACATAGTGTGACATTCAAACATTGTAAAGCCTGCTTTTATAAACATTTTGAATACCACAAAGTATTAACTCTAAGATTTGGAATTATGAGGGGGCTTATGTAGTTTGTTGTCCCAGTCCGATGGTAGAGAAATTGGATTCATACTAGACAATTCTAGAAGTGCAATGTGCTATCTTCAGATCATTTTGTTGTCATCTTCTTATGAATAGGTTTAATAAAAAAATTACCTAAATTACTTGGCAGGTCTCATAGCAAGAAATCAGACGGGTTTAGGTTCACTACTACCAATTACTTTGTAGGTTTCCTAGCAAGAAATTCAATGGGTTTAGGTTCACTACTACCATGAAGCATTTCAATACCTTTGTTCAAGATTGTAAACTTTGAGAGTATTCACTCTCTAATGCTCAATTTATATGGCCTGTGAATACGGGTAGGATTATGTCTTCTCGCTTGGATTAACTTTTGGTGACAACTAGCTGGGAAGATAGTTTTTCTAATTATTCAGGGGTCTAGATTCTCTCTGTTTAGATCATGCCCCTGTAATTTTTGGATTCCGCTCGCCTGAGGTGGGATGCTGCTTCTTTTTGGCTTGAGAATATGTGGCTGCAGTTTGGTGATTTTGTTAGAAATGTGTAGAAGTGGTGAGTTGAAGCTGGTGTGGATGGTTGGTCTTGGAGGGTTTTATGTTTTTGACGAAACTCCAATATCTAAAAGAGCTACTTAAGATGGGAAATAAGGAGGTTTTTAGTGATTTAGAGCCAAGAAGAGAGATATCTTTTAAAAACTTCCATTTCTTGATAAGCTACTCTTGATGATGCCATTTCTAACAAGTAGTTGGGCATATTGTCTTTGTAGAAGAATGACTGAGGAGGTTATCATTGGAGAGGAGCTTAGTTGGCAAAGAGAAATCTAGAGTGATGTGGATGAAGGAAATTAATGCTAATATAGGTCTTTTTCATAGGCATGCAAATGGGTGAAGGAAAAATTGCATTAAGGAATTGGAGCTTGCGAACGATAAGATTATGAAAGATTAAATTTTTATAGAGAGAGATCAAAGAGTTTTATAGGAATCTCTAAAAGGAGGATAGTAATTGGCCTTTTTTCAAGGGTATTGTTTGGAGCCCTAAAAGCAGAACAGGTGGATAAATGTTTATTGATGAAGAGGTCAAAAGAGTTGTCTGGCCCTAAATGTTTTTCCATTGCCTCTTTTTAAATTGTTGGAATTGCGTGAAGAGTGATTGGATGAAATCTTGGTGTTAGCATGACCTTTATCACTCTAGCATCGGATAAAGATAGCTCTGAAAGAGTTTTAAAGTTTCTCCCCATTAGCCTTGTAATTAGTATTTATAAGGTCATTACCAAGGTTTTGCAAGCATATACTGCACCACAAACTAGTTACATCTACAACCCAGAAACAAACATATGACTAAACAGTGGTTTATATGTAAATCCATATATGTATGTAATCGCTGTGATCATGGAAAGGGTGCCCTTAGTTTTATTTCGGCCTACCTAGTTAATGGCAAAGCCTTTGATAGACTGCTTCCAATAATCAGCTTGCGGGACTGATCCTCTGGTTCTACTATCTCCATTCTCTTCACCTCCAACACTTCTCTCTTGATATATGTATTTCATATTTCTTTTCTTTGCCAGCTCCGCCTTCACTCTCCCTAAGGCCACCCTCCGTGGTGACATCATCAATGCTGGTGCGCCCAATAATGGTCTATCACCTTGGTCGACCTGCTAAGTGCACCTCAACTTGCTGTATGTTTTGGCAAGAGGGTGTTTCTATCTTCACTAACCAGAGCACCTTTATGAGTGGGAGGTAATTTTTGATGCTTCCTTGATTGTTAATGAAGTTGTGGATATTAAGAGGTCTGAAGGTAAAGGGCTCGTTCTGAAATTGGATTTTGAAATGGCTTACAATAGGCTCATTGGGACAAAGTCATGATGAGGGAGAATTTTTGTGATAGATTGTGAAGATGGGTTAGAAAGTTTTTCTGCTCAATTTTATATGTGGTCATTTTCATTAGTGAGAGTAAGACCTAGGTTATGGGGGAAGTGGGGTGAGGCAAAGGGATCCTCTTTTCTTGTTTCTTTGCACAGCTCTGGTTGATGTTCTCTGTCCCATGTTGAATTTTGGCTGTGATAGGGGTTTTGTGAGCGGCTTGTCTTTCAAGGAGGAGAATATTGAGACCTCTCTCTTGCAATTTACATATGATACATTTTTTGTTTCTATCGGATAATGATCAGTTTGGATTTTTTAGTTTATTTTAGGGCTCCACATGAGCCTTTTTATGAGTGGGCTTATGGGGATTAATGCTGTAGATAGGCCTATTAGTAAGCTTGCTGAATTGAGTAATGTACTATGTTGTCTTGGTCTCTCACCAATTCAGGTGTTCCCTAAGTAGATAACTCTTGAATTGAGTCTTTTTGGGATCCTAGGATGAGTAGAGTTTTAGAAGGCTCAATTGTTTGAAAGGTGGGTTGTTCTATCTAGGAGGTGAGGTTACTCGTATACTAGCTTGTTTATTTGTTATTCCTCTATACTAACTTTTCCTTTTTTTTCCTGAAAGAACTAACCTTTCTTTGTTTAAGCTCCTCAAAGAGGTGATTGGAAATATAGAGGGGATCATGAGGATATTTTTGTGGTTTAGGGATCATTTTGACTGAAAAATGTCCATGGTACAATGGCTGCATTAACCAATTTATATACAGAAAATACCCTCCTAATAAAGAGGGAAACTTGACAAATATTTACAAATAAATAAGTAACAATAATTAAATGGCTTTGGTATTCTTAAAAATAGATGGTTCCAGATCTTTGGTTTTTTTGTTACAGGGTCATCCTCTTTGTTCTATGAAGGATTTTGCAGAACTTGTTGATACACTAATAGATTTGTAAATTTTTTACATAAGTGGCAACCCCTTGGTGCCTACGTTAACACTAATTATACTTCATATTTTTTTAAAAAAATTAAGCAATATTAGTGCCACCTAATATCCTAAGCAGGAAACATTAAACAAAAAACAAAAGATACAATCAGAAAAGTTAAAGCCAAAAATAATTTTACAATTTCTTTGCTTAATGTCCTTGAGCATATTAATCTCTCTCTAGAACCTGATGATAGAATTTGGACTTGGGACTCTTCAAGTGTGTGTACTTAAGCCCTTCTCAACCCATCGTACCCACAACTCCAGCTGTCCTATGAGGTTTTTACTAGCGTATTTTGGAATGCTAAAGTTTCCTCAAAGGTTAAGATATTTGTGTCTGGACTACTGTTCTGGACAGATCTTCAGAGACCTACCTGTGTAGTATCTCTATATGTCTGTTGTGTGCTTAAGGGAGGCTGAATCCTGTCCCCATCTTCCTTTGTCACCGTCTTCTTTTGCATTGCCGGAGCGCTTGGATGCCTTTGTATAGGTGTTTTACTACTTGTGGCTTCATATGGGTTGCTCCCTTCTCTTGAGGGTTTTCTTTCCATGTTCCTTAAGGGACTTGGTTTGGAGAAGGGGGGTGTTTGAAGAAGGAAGCTACGGTGCTTTTCCATGGTTCTCTCTTTGGTGGTTGTGAGTGTCATGGCTGGAATTTAATGCTAGATTTTAATCGTGCTTGTTATTCACCTCCATCTTTCTTTGGGAACAAATTGATCTTTTTTGCTTCTTGGGCCAAGACTCATGGTTTTTTCAGGGAAATTTCTTTGGCAACGTCATCGAGATTGGCAAGTAGTGTTGCATTGATTCTTATGTATCTTTTTCAATGATCTTTTAGGATCTTATCCTCCGTAGTTGTATTTTTTATCCTCTTTCTAATAAAACTTATGAAAAAAAAAATTTAAATTACTTCCAGGCTATTAGGTACATGCTAATTCTACTTGTTCCCTGTTAATTTATTGTCCGAGGGAGACTTTTTTCCTTGCATGACTAGTTATATACATGACTGTCAATGCTAGTATTTTAACTGTCAGTTGTCTGTTGCTGCAGAACCTCCTCCACATACAGTTCTTGGGATGCCGGCTTTGTCCCCTACAATGGTAAGATATCTTGGTGCTAGAGTTTGAAATGTATGCCTCAAATTATTTTTCTGGATTTTGTTCTTATCTGCAAGAAGTGAAGGTTTTCTGCTTCTTGTCCTTGTGCAGAATCAAGGTAACATAGCAAAATGGAGGAAAAAGGAAGGAGATAAGGTCAGTTACGTCCTAATTTATAGACTTTTAGGTATCATTATCCGAAAACTAGATTCTTTTTCATGACAGGTTGGAGACAAGTGGTGATGTCAATGTTCTCTTTTCTCAACTATTGACCTGTTGTCACAGATAGAAGTGGGCGACGTGCTATGTGAAATAGAGACTGATAAAGCTACACTAGAGTTCGAAAGCCTTGAGGAGGGGTAATCATATACATTTTTATTCTTTTTTTTTAATCTTCCATTTTTACTTGGAATGAAGAACGCATGGATTTTAGCTAACCAAGGATATACACTTACTTTTATGTTGGCTTTATGGATGGATGCTTTTGCTGTAGATTTTTTGGGAGGTGGGTTTAGGGGCTTTGAAACTCAAGATCTGTTTCTTTAATGACAAGACATAAGGCCTTTTTATGCTGCAGATTTATGGCTAAGATTCTGGTGCCTGATGGGTCGAAGGATGTGCCTGTTGGACAACCAATTGCCATAGTGGTAAAATGTTGCTTTTCCTAAAAGTTTACTGCTCTCTTATCTTTACGGAAAAGAATATGATTTGATCAGAGTCAAACATTTTGTTAGATAGGAAAATGTGGCTGAACTTTTTCATCATTGAAGAAATTTATTTTCTTCATTTTAAGGAGTTATCCCCTCTTCATTTTTCTAGATGCCGTACATCTTTTCATCCTTTCAAATTCAACCAGTTTTGTATATCTGGTACCTTTCATGCAATAATTTTATGTTTTTTTTTTTGAAAATAGCAATAATTTTATGTTTTATGCTGCTACTTGTAATTTTTGTATCTGAAGTTTATTTTGACACTCATTTTGATTGAATCTCAAGGTTGAGGATGCAGATGATATTCAAAATATCCCTGCTTCTGTTGGGGCTAAATCACAGGTTAAAGAAGAAAAATCGACTCATCAGGGCACCAAACCTAAAGGTAGCACACAAGAAACTAATAACCCTAAAATCAGTGCATCAGATCTTCCTTCTCATGTTATTCTTGGAATGCCAGCACTCTCCCCAACAATGGTAAGAAAGCTTGGTTTAAGACGAAAGCTAACTTGCTTCACTAAATGCTAGGTTCTTTCTTCAATACAAGATTAATGTTTTTTGTATGGTGTTCTGGTGCAGAATCAAGGTAATCTTGCCAAATGGAGGAAAAAGGAAGGTGACAAGGTTAGCGTTTCTACTCTAAGCGAAGTAACAACTACAGTTTATTCAGTCAAAATGAAGATGTTAGTGACATATACATGCCCTCCTTTGTGCAATTCTTTAATCAACAGATAGAAGTGGGTGATGTGATATGTGAGATAGAAACAGATAAAGCTACTCTAGAATTTGAAAGTCTTGAAGAGGGGTATTGTTCTCGCCACTTTGAAGTTTATTTCAGTCAATGTAACTAGAAACTTTATCTTACAGTAATAGTTTAACTTGTTGGTTGCCACTTGCAAGTGACAATGTATACTCTAGATCTTTCTTACTATCTTGTATTATACTCCTCCATGTGTGCCTTGGTTTCTGCTATTCCTGTTGGTTCTTGTATTACATCTAATAGCTGTAAGTAGAAAACAAAAATCACAATGTGCCATGCCAGTCTTTATAGCCTTCAAAATGCTGCATGTTGAGTATGCTATTTTGTCTTAACCACTGTAAGAAAAAAGAAAATGTTAGGCATGAGTTAAAAATGTTGCAGCTTAAGTGCTTTCCCTTTGAAAGTAGCCTTTTGCAGGGTTAATTAATTTGACTTATGTATTTAGTTGCATGTGAAAACTTTCTAAATCATGGCTTTTTGAAGGAGAAAATCAGGTAAATGTTTTGTCCTCCCTTTTCTAGCACAGCTCTCAGAACATTGAGATGAACTTTCTATTGTGAACTTTCATGAGTAGCATGTTATTAAACTACTAGGACCAAGTGTAAATTGCCATGATGCATGCATATTGTTGATCTTGGAGAATTGCAGTTAGTCATATTAATAAATGGACGCAAGGTTCAACTCTTAGCATATCCAAACTATTTAAGCTTGTGGTCTCAATCTTACTTTACATTTTGAGCTGTCAGGTATTTTGGATTTGTCAATCCTTTAAAGAGCTTTTCGAAACTGTCTTAACAGTGGATGGTTTAATCTGGATAGTCCGAAGTATAGATTGGTTTCTAGAAAAGTTCTCAGTTTTAGATGTTACATTGAACTATTTTCTTTCTCTTGGTTTGTAAGACATAAAAATGAAGTCCGGTTCTTCCTTTTCAAAAGAAACAGAGAAGAGACTAATTCTGAAATAGGGTTTTGGAGTTGCACCATTGCTTGAACTCTTCCTGTGAAATTCTTGGTAGTAATACACCTCTGCATAGATCCTCCCACAATAATTATTATTTTTTAACATGCTCTATGCTGTTGTGAGAAGTTCCTTACACTTCATGAAGTTTTATGTGAAAAGATTATCCAAAATTTATACCTAATGGAGGCACCATATTCTTAAGGATTTTTTTTTTGTCTCAAACAATTTGTTTAGGGACAGAAATGAAGATTCTAATTTGTAGTCACACTTTTAGGGTACATTTTTCTAAATAAAAAGTGTAAGAATATATTAGTAGGTACCAAGGGAGTGCCACCCATATACAATGTATTTACAGAATAGTAATAGTATTCACACTCTTAAGGTACATGTGATATGTTTTCTTATATTCTTCAATATATGGGGATTGATGTAGGTATTTGGCCAAGATCCTAGCACCTGAAGGTTCAAAAGATGTAGCTGTTGGAGAACCTATTGCAATTACAGTAAGTCATAATTATGCTTGATTTAGTTCATTTAGCTTTGTTTTTTTCAGATAAAAGGTTCAGTTCATGTGATTATAATATGATTTGTAATCGAAGCAGTATATGGTGCCATAGTTGGTAAACACAAGTTTGATATTGTAGTTTCTTTGAGGCATATGGATACGTTTACACTTGCTGTTTTGCAAGGTTGAAGATCTGGAAGATATTGAAACTGTTAAATCTTCTCTCGGTTCTGAGTTCAAAGGAGGTTCTGAGGTGAAAGGGGTAAAATCTTCTTATCATGAACCCAAAGAAGTTCAAGAGCAGAAATCCAGTTTTACGAAGATCAGTCCCTCTGCTAAGTTGCTTATTTCAGAATATGGACTTGATACAAAGTCATTGAAGGCTACAGGGCCCCGTGGGACTCTACTGAAAGTGGATGTTTTGGCGGCAATTAAGTCTGGGAAAGGACCTGTAAAAGCTTCATCTGCTAAGGAGAAGAAAGATCCATCACCTCAAACCCATAAACAAGCTTCTTCCACAGCATCCCCTGAGTCGAAGTCTGGCATAAAGCAAGTTGATTCCTATGAAGATTTTCCCAACAGTCAAATTCGCAAGGTAAAGTGCACATTTCTTTTCTGAAAAGACAAATTACAGAGAATTGACTTTAGGAAATGAGCAACAGTTTGTGGTTTTACATCCCTTTCTAGTTGTTTCTGCTATGGTCCAAAAAATATCATATAGTTCAAAAAAGGAAAAAAATAAAAGAAGAGAGAAACCAAGACTTTTTTTTGCTTTAAGAAACTTGTTTATGTCTGTTTCAATGCTCGCAAAGTGCAGTTAACTGCTGTTCAAGACTATGATTTGTCACGTAAACTAAATTTCTGTAGGTAGCAATCATGCTTTGGTCTGAGTAAAAAAATGATTAGAAAAGTACTCCTCATTTATAACATGCTAGGATAGATGTGTGGTAGGACAAGAAAGATTCAATATAGTTAGTACTGTAAATTATAGTTTTTGATGAAAAAAGTATTACTAGAAAGGAAAATGAGAAACTTTTTGTTGTCTAAACCACTATTTTGAAAAAACAAAAAACATTTGTTGTCTAAAACACTTATACAATGCAAACAGATTAAAGTAAAAGCAATAGAGAAAGAAAGAACTTTGAATTTTAATGTGGTTCATTGATGTGCCTACTCCATGGAGCCACCTACGAAAATGTTCTTTGTATTGAGCGAACCTTCTACCCTTCACCAAGACCTAATTGTTTTTTTTTTTTTTGAAATAAAAAGAATGTCTATTATGTATATGGCACCAAGGGGGTGCCACCCATGTACAAAATATTTACAATTCAGTTAAAACTTTCATCGAGACCTAATTGTGAATACTGAGTCTTTGATTTGAGCCACAACTCAACAAGTTCCACGGCGGAGGCTAAACCCTTGTGAATGGATGTGTGCTGTGCGTGAAAGAGATGGAATTCCCTTGTCATCTTTTTCATGCTCGTGCCATGAGACTAGAAGATTATGGGATTTTCTTTGTCTCTTAAACCTTTCTTAGAGAAAAAAGGGAATTATACTAAAAGGACACCAAGGAGTTGCCACCCCCTATACAAAATATTTGAACAGCATAACAGAAAATATCAATAAAGATTCCAAGATTCTCTCTTGAAAGGACAAAATGTCCTCTAAACTAAAAAATTAAGGTCTGAAACCAATGATCTCTAGTACCAACAAAAGAAGGGACTTTATCTCCAAAATCTCTACCATTTCCTTTTTTCCTAATAACCCACATTGTGAACTATGGGATTAGCGAGATTCAGTTCTTCCTATCCTTATCAACAGAAATGCCATTCCACGCTCAAATTTCATCCGCCACTGAGTTGCAGGTGCCCCAAGAAAGGTTGAGAAACTTCTGGCCTTAGAACACCAACGGAGAAGATGATATGGGATTTATTCTCTGATAGGTAAAGTGGCACCATTTACTATGATTCTCTTTTGTTTTTGTAAGTTGTCAAAAGTGATGAATGCCATACAAGGCATCTTTCTTCTATATATGCTTCTAAAGAAAAATGAAGACAACTGCAACTTATTAAATAGATTAAAGCAGAAGGATTGGATAGAGATCCACTCATCAAGATGAACTCAACCGGGTTATTAGGTGCTTCAAGGAAGCTTTGGCAACAATGCAACTTATAGAATAAGGTGACAAAGTCATTGATCTCCTAGTCATTCAGGTTGTAGGAAAGCAAGATATTCCAGGAGGGATTCTAGCAGTTATGCCGCATGCTAATTGATGCATCTTTATCTCTGGCAAGTTCAAAGAGTCTTGGGAACTGAACTTTCAAGGGAGCACTCCCACACTATCCTGAAGTGCACATGATCTATCACTTGATTCAAGCCTTATCCATTTCCATAGACTGGTTACATAAGTTTGATAGGTCATTGCAATTTGCCAACCTTTTCCTGCCAAGCCATATTTAGCTGTGGTAACCTCCTTTCACTACCCAATCTGCATAGACATAGACTTCCAAAGCCACTTAGCCAAGATAGATCTGTTCATAACCAAAGGAGATTTTATACAAGCCCTCCCACATCTTTTTGGACATTTATAAAGCAATGTTAATTGTAGACGAAAGCCATTCAGTAAATTGTAATTAGCACAGTACTGATATTTGCACATGTTTAAATGTTAGATATTTGAAATATTATTTTACTGTTTCTCCTTGATGTGGTTGGCAATCTACACTGGAATATCATTTTCCATCTTCAATTGAAGCTATATTCTTTTTCAGGTTATTGCTAAAAGATTGTTGGAATCAAAACAGACTACACCACATTTGTATCTGTCCTCAGGTTTATTACATATCATTTTTCGCCTTTGTTTTTTAAGTTTCTTCTTGGATCTGAAACTCTTAAATGTGTGTATCAGATGTTGTATTGGATCCTCTTCTTTCATTTAGGAAGGAGCTTAAAGGTAAGGAATACAAACCTCTTGATAGTTACTTTTTTTTCTTTTGAATTTCTAACTTGGTGAACTCCTTCTCATCTTGTGGGCTTGGTGTTTACAGAGAACCATGATATTAAAGTTTCTGTTAATGATATCGTGATCAAAGCAGTGGCAGCTGCCCTGAAATCTGTACCAGAAGCTAATGGTAAGATAAGCTTTTCATACAGGGATCTTTATTGATTGCTGAAGATATACATGGTTTAGAGCATAACTTGCATGAACATAAATTTGTGCTATATGCTTTAGAGTTTAGTTTGGGGAATCTAAAACAATATGAAGAATGTCGTTCTTGTATTGATAGGAGCTCAAAAGGGCTTTTTTAAAAAAAAAAAATTAGATGATCATGAAAGTTGCACTCAGGAAGAAAACACGTTTGGATATTTTGTT